ATCAACAAAATTGCATGGGTTAAATTTTTGTGTTCCCTCCTGTTAATTTTGTGTTCCCAGTACGTTCCCTCCTGTAAGAACAAATGCGTTTGAATTATTTGAAGTTTAACCAAAAGCAGCTGCGCTCTGAACTATACAGTGGATTGCAGGATGCAGTACATGCACAAGATAGTATGCTTGAATCATCAAACATAGGACAGCAGATAATTTTGCCATCAAGCTTTACAGGAGGACCTCGCCAAATGCATCAACTTTATCAAGATGGAATGGCTATTGTGCGAGTGTTTGGCAAACCTGATCTTTTTATTACAATGACCTGCAATCCACAATGGCCTGAAATTACTAATGAGCTTCTTCCAGGTCAAATGGCACAAGACAGACCTGATTTAATTGCCCGTGTATTTAATATGAAGTTAAAAGTGATGCTTGGAGATATTTTAAAAGATGATATTTTTGGAAAGGTGATAGCTTACCTTTATACTATAGAATTTCAAAAGCGTGGATTACCTCATGCACACATTCTCTTAATTCTTGCCCAGGATGATTGATGACTATGATGCTATTGTGTCAGCTGAGATTCCTGACAGAGATGGTGATCCATATACATTTGATACTGTCAAACGATCAATGATACATGGTCCTTGTGGTGCTTTTATGCAAAATGCCCCATGTATGAAAAATGGAAGGTGTCCAAAGCATTTTCAGGAAAGTACTGCTGTAAATAATGATGGGTACCCTATTTACAAGCGAAGAGACAATGGAAAAACAGTAGAAGTGCGTGGAGCAACATTAGATAACAGATGGGTTGTTCCGTATAATCCATATCTTTCTACTAGATATGATTGCCATATAAATGTAGAGATTTGTTCATCCATTACTGCAGTAAAGTATCTCTTTAAGTATGTCTATAAAGGACATGATCGTGCTACTGTAGAAATAAGAAGACAAAACCACAAGCAAGAAAGTAATGATGAGATAAGTCTCTACCTTGATGCTCGATATGTTTCAGCATCAGAAGCTTCATGGCGATTATTTCATTATCGATTGCATGATAGAAGTCCAGCTGTTGTACACCTCCAAGTTCATCTTCCAGGACAGCATAGAGTTATATTTCGGGATGATGAATGTTTAGAAAATGTAGTTGAACGTGCCAATTCTGAAAAAACAACACTTACAGCATGGTTCCAAGCTAACACATTATATCCTGAAGCAAGAGAGCTTACTTATGGAAATTTTCCTACTCAGTGGGTTTATAACAGGCAAACCAATAAATGGAGCCCAAGGCAACATGAAAATGTAATTGGGCGTATGTATTTTGTTTCTCCAATGGCAGGCAAGCGATATTATTTAAGAATTTTACTTAATGTAGTTTGTGGTGCTACTTCTTTTGAAAATCTCCACACTGTCAATGGAGTTTTATATAATACTTTCAAGGAAGCCTGTGCCATTTTAGGATTGCTACAGAATGGTGAAGAATGGGATCAATGTTTAGCAGAAGCTGCTCAGGTACAGACTGGATCACAACTACGTAATTTGTTTGCTACACTACTTCTGTTTTGTGATCCAGTAAGACCTGAGAATCTTTGGGAGAAGTATTTTTATGCTCTTAGTGATGATATGCAATTTCAAGTTCATGATAATGTTGAAAATACTGATATCCACAACCGAGCTTTAACCCATTTGCAATCAATTTTAAATAGGCGTGGAAAATGTCTTAAAGATTTTCCTGATATGCCCATACCTGAAGTTCTTTCTGATTGTGATCAAGACAATTATCTAATTTATGAAGAACAAAGCTATAATATTGAAGAGCTTACTCAAACAGTTGAAAATGGAATTCCTCAATTAAATGCAGATCAGAAAGTTGCATTTGAAAAAGTTATAACTGCTGTGGAAAATCAAACCCCTGCTATGTTTTTTATTGATGGTCCAGGTGGAACAGGAAAAACTTTTTTATATAAGTAGCTATATTATTTTTTTATTTGAATTTGTTATTTTACCATATATTTCATTATCTGTATATATAGTGTTCTACTTGCAAAGATTCGTTTAGATGGACATATTGCTCTGGCAATAGCTTCTTCAGGTATTGCTGCACTTCTTTTACCAGGTGGCCGAACTGCCCACTCCCGATTTAGAATACCTATTAATTTAAATGAAGATTCTACCTGTTCCATCTCTCATGGCTCTGATACAGCCTTACTATTGCAAAGAACAAGTCTTATTGCTCCAATGATGCATAGATATGCATTTGAAGCTGTAGATCGCACTTTAAAAGACCTCATGAAAGCTGTTGATCCTGATTTGGAAGGAAAACCATTTGGAGGTAAAGTGGATAGTATTTGGAGGAGATTTTCGACAAATTCTTCCTGTAGTTGTAAAAGGTGGCCAAGAAGAGATTGTAGGATCCTGTTTGCGTCGGTCCCCTTTGTGGAAACATGTTGAAGTTATGAAACTTAAAATTAATATGCGTCTTCGTTGTACTACTTCTGATCTTATTGAGCAAGATGAATTTGCTAGATGGCTCCTTAAAGTTGGTGAAGGTCACATTACTGCTGTTGGACCTGAGAAAAACATTATTCAGCTTCCTGATGACATTGTTTTATCATCTGAAGAATTAACTGACTTAACTCAGTTTGTATATTCTGGATTTTCATCACATACCAATTCACAATATTTAGTTGAGCGTGCAATTCTTGCCCCTAAGAATGATCAGGTTAATGCTATTAATGATATAATTATGACTCAATTTCCAGGAGACGCTGTTGAGTATCTTAGCGCAGATATGGTTGAAGAACAGGCTGAGGCAGAACATTTGTATCCTGTTGAATTTCTTAACTCTCTAACTATTGGAGGCCTTCCACCTCATAGGCTCATATTAAAACCTGGTGCACCAATTATTTTATTACGCAATATTTCTCCTTCTGATGGTCTTTGTAATGGAACCAGATTAGTCTGCCGATCTTTTAATAGACATGTTATTGAAGCTGAAATTATTACTGGAAAACATTCTGGAAATTGTGTTTTTCTTCCTCGCATTACAATGACACCTTCAAATACAGATCTACCTTTTATTTTCAAACGTCGTCAATTCCCTGTGCAGCCTGCCTTTGCAATGACTATCAATAAGTCTCAAGGACAAACATTAAATTTGGTTGGTTTATATCTTCCAACACCAGTATTCTCTCATGGACAATTATATGTTGCCTGTTCAAGAGTAACATCACGGAAGAACTTGAAAATTCTTACCTCTAAATGCAATGGAGAAAATGTGCGTTATGCTAATCTTACATCTAACATTGTTTACCCTGAAGTGTTACAATAGGATAATTTGTGAGGTATGTATGTGATTATAATAATAAATGTGACATTTTGTAGTCATGAAATCAAATATTTAACAAAATTATGTCAATTAAAATTTTTATTTTTTTAAATCTATACATATTTATAATAAATGCAACCAAACTTATTATTAGTATTATGAAATTACAATATTAAATAAATTTGAATAAAATAAAAAAAAAATTTACAAGATATAACGTGCTCTAGATGTAAACCGTCAGCGAAGCTGACGGGTTACACCTAGTATCAAAATTAAAATGACTGGTACAAACTCCATATTCGTATAAATTATAATCAGAATTATTTCCTACAGATACATCCACTTCCATGTTCCAGAGAGCCGTGCCAATGGTACTAAATTTTTTATTGAACAACATCAAGAAATGGTCCCTGTAGAATTATAATTATCAATTATAACACACGATGATAACTTTGTGGGCTTAGTATCTGGTATAACAAAATCCCCTTCATTATTACTATCATTGAATATATGAAATTCTTCATCATTTTCCTCATCATTTTCCTCATCACTTTCCTCATCACTTTCCTCATCACTACTTTCTTCATCTTGTACATCTTGAGACCTCTGAGAATCAAATAGATTTTTTGCAGTCTCTAGAGCTGGTTCATCTAACACAAACATTCTAAAATCATCATCTTCATCATACTCACTTTCTGATCCCTTTTCTTTTTCAACTAAATTATAGCTTACTTCTTCCATCAATTCAACATCTTTTTCAATCAAATTTAAATTTCTTTGATTTGAATCCATTTTATTCTTATTCAAGTTTATTGTGACTTTTACAACAAATTTATGTTTGTATGGAAGTAGAGATGATTAAAATGTAGGATATGGATTATGGATTATGGATTATTGATAATTAAATATATATTTAACAATGATTTTTACGATCACAAAGATAAATTATAATAAATTTTATTTATTAATAATTATTAAAATGAAATTACAATGATTTAACAAATTTTTATTTTGTAGGAATATTGTATAAAACATCTATTTATATTAATTCTAAAATATGTTTTCTTTATATCTGTCAAAGAAAGAACTTGTTAACAATCTAATCATTATTAAAAAAGAATCTAATATCTTTTATTAAAACAATGAAAATAATTTATCATTATTACCTATTATTTACTATATTAGAATGTCAACTAACATTTCTTTCTCAAAAAAACAAAGAAACTGTTAGAAGTTAATTAAAAAAAAAGATAAATAAAAATATTAGAATTTATTTATTTGTTCATATCTTATTCATTATTTTAACTAATATTATAATTAATTGAATCAAAAAAAAAAAAAAAACATATGTATGTACCTTTTATGAATCTTGTTATTAGCCAAAGAACACCCCATTCATTCTTATAAACAAAAATTCCCATTAAATTTATTAGTAAGGAATTATTTATTAAATAATTATAATATTGACAGTTGACTACTCAACCCAAATTCAATAAAGCAATGTTATTTCTAAAGGTGGTTTTTCGTTTTCATTGAAATTACTAATTTTTTTTAAAATTTTACTAAAAATGGTAATGTCGTTAAAAACTGAATGAATAACTTTCAACAGAAATTGTCTATCTTGGGAAAAAACTGTATATTTCAATAAACATTAAATTTTACAAAAAAGGATTTCACGAAAGTAAAAGCGTTGTATAGGAATGCTCAATATTCAATATTCAATATTCGATGACTGATGAATGCCGAGTAGATGGAAACGCATTTTTTAAAACATAATTTTTAGGAAAACGTGAGGTTAAATTTTAAGGTGTTTGTTATTGGATTTTGATTCATGAAAAGGATCGTCATAGCATTTAAACGGTTTCAGTGATTCATTCTTAAAAATTCGGATTCTTTAGTTCGTGTGTGCATGTGTTATTAATAAATGATGGATTTATGTGATTAATTGATGTATTAGTAAATAAAAAATCATCAGTGTATGGTTGCATTGACTTTTATTAAGATGTTGACTAGGAATTTCGTGATAACAAATAGCTTGGTCTCATCCAAACCATGACAATAGAAAAAGACACCATTATCAATCAATTGAAATGAAGTAATCGAAATGGATTAAACAATTTGCGATGATGATTAATGTTTTCTTATCTTCGATCTGCCTAAAAGTAAACTATTCAAACCGTTTGTGTTCTTGTTCTTTGTTGTTTGTCACCGTTAATCATTTTCTTTGAAATAATTCAAAAAGTTTGCTATTATTAAAAAATGCAAATTATTACTATTAAAATAAAAATAAATTGTATGAATAAAATTACATAATGTGCAATAATATAAATATTTGTTGGATTAGATATTTTGTCTCTAATTCATCACACTTACACAAAATTTGTGCTACATTTTGAAGGATAAATTCCTTAATTGCATATCAGTCAGACAGGATTTCACGCGATTGACATGTCTACTGTCATAGCTATGTAAAATTTTTGTGAAACACGTCAATTTTTACTATTAAAATCGAAGTTACTTTTTTGTTTGTTACTAGTACACCCATATATAGTTTTTAACAAGGAA